TTCGACGTGCGCTACTACCTGGTCGCTATCCTCTTCATCATTTTCGATCTGGAAACCGCGTTTCTGTTCCCTTGGGGCGTCGCGCTGCGCGATATCGGCTGGCCGGGCTTCATCGCGATGATGATCTTCCTGCTCGAGTTTCTGCTGGGCTTTGCCTATATCTGGAAACGCGGCGGTCTAAACTGGGAATGAGCGCCAATCACGCTTGAATGTCGGGCGCAGCGCTTGCCGCCGCCCGTCTGGAGTCGAAAGCAATGAGTATCGAAGGGGTCTTGAAGGAAGGTTTTGTCACCACGACGGCTGACAAGCTGATCAACTGGACGCGCACCGGTTCGCTGTGGCCGATGACGTTCGGGCTCGCCTGTTGCGCTGTCGAGATGATGCATGCGGGCGCGGCGCGCTACGATCTGGACCGTTTCGGCGTCGTGTTCCGTCCGAGTCCGCGCCAGTCCGATGTGATGATCGTGGCCGGTACGCTGTGCAACAAGATGGCGCCCGCATTGCGCAAGGTCTATGACCAGATGGCCGAGCCGCGCTGGGTGATCTCGATGGGCTCGTGCGCGAATGGCGGCGGCTACTACCATTACTCGTACTCGGTTGTGCGCGGGTGCGATCGCATCGTTCCGGTCGATGTGTACGTGCCGGGCTGTCCGCCGACTGCTGAGGCGCTCGTCTACGGCGTGATCCAGTTGCAGGCGAAGATCCGCCGCACCAACACCATCGCCCGACAGTAACGCGGAGCTCCCCACCATGGCAAGCAAACTCGAGACCCTGAAGGCGAACCTCGAAAAGGTGCTCGGCGGCCGACTGAAAAGCGCCACCGAGTCGCTCGGGCAATTGACGATCGTTATTGCCGCCAGCGACCTGGTTGATGTCGCGAAGCGGTTGCGTGACGATCCGGCGCTCGGCTTCGAACAGTTGATCGACCTGTGCGGCGTCGACTACTCGACGTATGGTGATGGCGCATACGACGGTCCGCGGTTTGCCGCGGTGTCGCACTTGCTGTCGATCCGCAACAATTGGCGGCTGCGCGTGCGCGTGTTCGCGCCGGATGACGACGTGCCGATTCTGCCGTCGCTGATCGAAGTGTGGAGTTCGGTGAACTGGTACGAGCGCGAAGCCTTCGACCTGTTCGGGATCGTGTTCGAAGGCCATCCGGACCTGCGCCGAATCCTGACCGACTACGGTTCCATCCGTTCCGCAAGGATTTCCCGCTGTCCGGTTACGTCGAGATGCGATACGACGCACAGGAAAAACGCGTCGTCTACCAGCCTGTCACGATCGAGCCCCGCGAAATCACGCCGCGCGTGATCCGCGAAGAACGCTATGGCGGCCTCAAGCACTGATTGCCCGTCAGGCCGGCCGCGGCCGGCTTGCGCGAGCGCATGCCCGTCCGTCCGAGTCTAATGAATTTCCAGCAAGCCCGCGAACATGGCTGACATCAAGAACTACACGCTGAACTTCGGTCCCCAGCACCCGGCAGCGCACGGCGTGCTGCGCCTCGTGCTCGAGTTGGACGGCGAAGTGATCCAGCGTGCCGATCCGCACATCGGTTTGTTGCATCGCGCGACGGAAAAGCTCGCGGAGCACAAGACGTACATCCAGTCGGTGCCGTACATGGACCGCCTCGACTATGTGTCGATGATGGTCAATGAGCACGCGTACGTGATGGCGATCGAGAAGCTCGCCGGCATCGACATTCCGATCCGCGCAAAGTACATCCGCGTGATGTTCGATGAAGTCACACGGATCCTGAATCATTTGATGTGGATTGGCGCGCATGCACTGGACGTCGGTGCGATGGCGGTGTTCCTGTATGCGTTCCGCGAGCGCGAGGACTTGATGGACGTGTACGAGGCAGTGTCCGGCGCGCGCATGCACGCGGCGTACTATCGCCCGGGCGGCGTCTATCGTGATCTGCCGGATGCGATGCCGCAGTACAAGGCGTCGAAGATTCGCAACGAAAAGGCGCTGGCTAAGCTCAACGAAAACCGCCAGGGGTCGTTGCTCGACTTCATCGAGGATTTCACGAACCGCTTCCCTGACTGCGTCGACGAATACGAAACGCTGCTGACCGACAACCGGATCTGGAAGCAGCGGCTGGTTGGCATCGGCGTCGTCACGCCGGAGCGCGCGTTGCAACTGGGCATGACCGGGCCGATGCTGCGAGGATCGGGCATCGAATGGGACTTGCGCAAGAAGCAGCCGTACGAAGTGTACGACCAGCTCGACTTCGATATCCCGGTCGGCGCGGGCGGCGACTGCTACGACCGGTACCTGGTGCGCGTCGAGGAGATGCGCCAGTCGAACCGGATCATCAAACAGTGTATTGCGTGGCTGCGCAACAATCCGGGCCCGGTGATGGTCGACAATCACAAGGTTGCGCCGCCGTCGCGGCTGAACATGAAGTCGAACATGGAAGAGCTGATTCACCATTTTAAGCTCTTCACCGAGGGTATGCATGTGCCGGAGGGCGAGACGTATGCGGCCGTCGAGCATCCGAAGGGCGAGTTCGGCATCTATCTGGTTTCGGACGGCGCGAACAAGCCGTATCGGCTGAAGATCCGCGCACCCGGCTACGTACATCTGTCCGCGCTCGACGAGATGGCGCGTGGCCACATGATCGCTGATGCGGTTACGATCATCGGCACACAGGACATCGTGTTCGGCGAGGTTGACCGGTAGCACAGCAGCTTGGCGCGTCGCGCGTGGCGTGGCGTCGTCGTATCAAGGAGCGTCAGGTCTGCCGGTAACGGTTCGCCGGCAGGTTTTCGTTCGGTAAGCATTGAATGAGTCGTGTCTGAAAATGATCTCAGCTGAAGGCCTCAAGGAAATTGATCGCGCGGTGGCGAAGTACCCCGCCGGTCACCAGCAGTCCGCCGTGATGGCGGCGCTTGCGATTGCGCAGCGGGAGCACGGCTGGCTGTCGCCGGAGCTGATGCAATGTGTCGCCGACTATCTGAAGATGCCGGCCATTGCGGTGCAAGAAGTCGCGACGTTCTACACGATGTACGAGACCGCGCCGGTCGGCCAGCACAAGCTCACGCTGTGCACGAACCTGCCGTGCCAATTGGGCGGTGCGCAAGAGAGCGTCGACTATCTGAAGCAGAAACTGGGAATCGATTTTGGCGAGACCACGCCCGACGGCAAGTTCACGCTGAAGGAAGGCGAGTGCTTCGGTGCCTGTGGTGACGCGCCGGTGGTGTTGCTGAACAACCATCGGATGTGCAGCTTCATGAGCCGTGAGAAGATCGACCAGTTGCTCGAGGAGCTGTCCAAATGACGTCTTTGCACGATCGCCACATCAATCCGCTGATTCTCGCGGGCCTGAACGGCGAGAACTGGCATTTGCAGGACTACGTCGCGCGCGGTGGCTACCAGCAGCTGCGCCGCATTCTCGAGCAGAAGATCCCGCCGGAGCAGGTGATTGCGGATGTGAAGGCATCCGGCCTGCGCGGTCGCGGTGGCGCCGGGTTCCCGACCGGGCTCAAATGGAGCTTCATGCCGCGCCAATTTCCGGGGCAGAAGTACCTGGTGTGCAATTCCGACGAGGGCGAGCCGGGCACGTTCAAGGACCGCGACATCCTGCGCTGGAATCCGCATGCGCTGATTGAAGGCATGGCGATCGGCGCGTACGCGATGGGCATCACGGTCGGCTACAACTATATCCACGGCGAGATCTGGGAAGTCTACGAGCGTTTCGAGCAGGCGCTGGATGAGGCGCGGGCGGCCGGCTATCTTGGCAATCACATCTTCGGCAGTGGTTTTTCGTTCGAGCTGCATGCGCACCATGGCTATGGCGCGTACATCTGCGGCGAGGAAACCGTTCCCGGCCAGCTATGGTGCTTTCGGCAAGCCAACGACGATCAACAACACCGAGACATTCGCCGCGGTGCCGTTCCTGCTTGCGATCGGTCCGCAGCAGTACCTGGAGCTGGGCAAGCCGAACAACGGTGGCACGAAGATCTTCTCGGTGTCCGGCGACGTGAACCTGCCGGGCAACTACGAAGTGCCGCTCGGCACGCCGTTCTCGAAGCTGATGGAGCTGGCCGGCGGCGTGCGTGGCAAGATCAAGGCGGTGATTCCGGGTGGCTCGTCGGCGCCGGTGGTGCCTGGCGAACAGATGATGCAGACTGATCTGGACTACGATTCGATTGCGAAGGCCGGCTCGATGCTTGGCTCCGGCGCGGTGATCGTGATGAACGATACGCGTTGCATGGTGCGTTCGCTGCTGCGCCTGTCGTACTTCTATTACGAGGAATCGTGCGGGCAGTGCACGCCGTGCCGCGAGGGCACCGGCTGGCTGTATCGCGTTGTGCACCGGATCGAGCACGGCCAGGGACGCCAGGAGGACCTGGACCTGCTGGACTCGGTCGCGCAGAACATCATGGGTCGCACGATCTGCGCGCTTGGCGATGCGGCGGCGATGCCGGTGCGCGGCATGCTGAAGCATTTTTGGAGCGAATTCGAGTATCACGTCGAGCACAAGCATTGCCTCGTTCCGACGCCCGGCGGTGACCAGCGCGATGCAGCGCTTGCAGTCACCGCGTGAGCGGCCCGCGAGTTGCGACGGCCCGCCTTCGAGCGGGCGCACAGGATTAGGTTAGGGACCTTTCACCATCATGGTTGAACTTGAAATAGACGGCAA